CACAACTACAGCTACTCCAACCGCAAGTACAGGTACTCTAACCGCAAGTACAGCTACTCCAACCACAACTACAGCTACTCCAACCGCAAGTACAGGTACTCTAACCACAAGTACAGCTGCTCCAACCACAACTACAGCTACTCTAACCACAAGCACAGCTACTCCAACCACAAGCACAGCTACTCCAACCACAAGCGCAGCTGCTCCAACCGCAAGTACAGCTACTCCAAACGCAAGTACAGCTGCTCCAACCACAACTACAGCTACTCCAACCGCAAGTACAGCTGCTCCAACCACAACCACAGCAACTCTAACCACAAGTACAGCTACTCCAACCACAAGCACAGCTACTCCAACCACAAGCACAGCTACTCCAACCACAAGCACAGCTGCTCCAACCGCAAGTACAGCTACTCCAACCACAAGCACAGCTGCTCCAACCGCAAGTACAGCTACTCCAACCACAAGTACAGCTGCTCCAACCACAACCACAGCAACTCTAACCACAAGTACAGCTACTCCAACCACAAGCACAGCTACTCCAACCACAAGCACAGCTACTCCAACCACAAGCACAGCTGCTCCAACCGCAAGTACAGCTACTCCAACTACAACTACAGCTACTCCAACCACAAGCACAGCAGCTCCAACCGCAAGTACAGCAGCTCCAACCACAAGTACAGCTGCTCCAACCGCAACTACAGCTGCTCCAATCACAACAACTCCAAACACAACAGCTTCAACTGCAGCTGCTCCAACCACAACTACAGCTGCTCCAACCACATTCAAAAATACAGCTGGTCCAATCACAACAGCTCCAACCACAACAGCTTCTACTACAGCTGCTCCAACCACATTTATAAATACAGCTACAACAACCTCACGTACGACTGTGGAGTCAACGATAACAAGGCGACTGACTTTTCGGACTGCTGAGGAGACCTTCACAACTGATTTACTGAACCAGTCTTCTACAGCATTTAGCAATCGAGCCACACTTTTAAAGTCCAATGTAAGTGTTATTTTACCTGGCAGTTGAATATTTGCATCATTATTTTATACAGGAAATGACTTTCAAATTTAACAGTTTTTTGAAACGTAACCTTTAAGTTTTACAAAAGAACAACAAAGAAAATAATGTTTTCAGAAAATAAAACGTGACAGTGTATTTATACAAGAGGAGAACAATTCAGGCTGTGAAGATCCAGTATTCCTGCAACATATGTCATCCAAATTTTGATTCGATTCTCAGTTTGTTTGTAAGATGGGCTCCTTGTTTCAGGAGCCCATCTTCAATTGGGTAAATATAAGTAAAACAAAACAAGAAATGAAATACCAAAAATATTGAAACTATGATTAGAACTGTATATCCACTAACTTATACACTAAAACAGAATCATGAACAGATTAAACTTTTGTTTGTTCAGTTTTTTTTTTATTATTCAGCTTGTATCAGTTTAAGTTAATTTCAGTAAAATCTCACTCAGACTCAAAAACACCACGTTATGATCTATATCCTTTTGGAATAAATGGAAGACTATTAAAAAAGAAAAAGCATTGAGCCAGAATACGTTCTATCAAACTGCTAAACTACAAAAACTTTAAATCTCTGTGTTTCTGCATGCAGCTTGAACCACTCTACAAGACTGCGTTCCCTTCATTGCGCAACTTCACTGTGATTTCATTCAGGTATGATTTGAGGAGAAATTCTGATTATTGTTAAATATAAATGTGCATTGATTAACTGATATTGTCTTGTGCTTGCAGTTATGGGTCAATTGTCAACAACATTGATCTTGAATTTGCAACAACATCCGCTCCAAATAACACCCAAATTGTGAAAATTTTGGCCGAAGCAGTTTCAAACATCACAGTTTTAGTTATCGACACAAGTTCGATTGTCGTGGACGTCACATGTAAGCCAAATTACGTTCACATAAAAGAAAATGTATGTATATTATGCAAAGTTTGCTCAATCTTAGAGAAGTTTGATAGAATAACTTGTTACCTTTGAATCAAACTACTATTTTACGTATTTTGATGTTTGATGGAAACCTGTAATTTCTCAAGATGCATCATTTTTGTACCAGGCAGGTATAGTTAAAACAAAGACAGAGTTCCAATTACAATTTCAATCATGACTAAATCTACACATAGAAAAATGTGTTTCGAATTATGACTACACACAACTTGTACTTGGATTTAGAGGAAGAACAAATGTTATGACTTAAATGCAGGGGCTCATCCATTAAAGAATCATAGCAATTCAGATGCAATGAAAATAAAAATGTCTTTATCCTACTAAGTGGGCAAGATGCTTTTGGTGCATGCGGTTGGAGGCCAGCGGCAGCCCATTTGGATTTAAAGAGGCCCGAAAACAACTCAATCTGAAAGGAGGAGAACTGAACAAACTGAATTGTCATTATCCAAGAAGGACTTTCTGAAAAAAAAAGGATGCAATGAAAATGTTTTGTATAGTCACAGACTGTTCAAAGAAGCAGAATAGGACATAATAGGAAGTGCATTTACTTCTACGACACCCAGAAGACTAGAAAAACACTGCATTGCTCATTCTGATGTGAAGTGGCTGAAAATATATTGGAAATACAAAGTGACCAATGTACAATGCCAGACTTGAAGACTTTTATAACATACTTCTCACCTCATTGTGTTTTTAGATCCTAAAAATGCAGATGGCTTCAGAGCATCCAGTCAAGATGAGACCAGTATCACTCTCCAGTGGAATAAAATAAACAACAATATCAGCTTTGTTCTCCAGTTTAATGGCACAGAGACATCCATCAGTGCACCATATGGAAATGGACCAGTTAACTACACAGTGTCATCTCTCAGTCCTGGAACCAAATACACATTCACTCTCTTCTCTGTGTTTGAGAACATAAGAAGTAGAGGAGTACAGCTTTCAGCTGCTACTGGTAAGATGTTTAACATAATCCCTACGAAGTATTAATGCATATCTGTACAGTCTTGTATTCAACAAGTTATACACATGTAACAATTGAAATTTTGTCACGTGATGTTTGCACTGTCCCAGTCTTTGGTCATGCAGTAAATCACAGGTTAATCAAATAATTTAATTTGCTGTCAATCAAATAGCTTGACCGCCAGCAATATATGTTACATAATAAATGTTGCTCATAATACATGTTTGCACTACTCATGTAGTTGTTCCTGTTAAAAGGATATGATGGTGGTTCTGGTAAAGTAGAGAAGAATTGTTAAAGCGTTAGAGACATGATTAATCTACATCTCTTCATGTTGTGTTTTTAGCTCCTAAAAATACAGATGGCTTCAGAGCATCCAGTCAAGAAGAGACCAGTATCACTCTGCAGTGGAATAAAATAAACAACAATGTCAGCTTTGTTCTCCAGTTTAATGGCACAGAGACATTCATCAGTGCAGTAGATGGAAATGGACCAGTTAACTACACAGTGTCATCTCTCAGTCCTGGAACCAAATACTCATTCACTCTCTTCTCTGTGTTCGAGAACAAAAGTAGTAGAGGAGTACAGCTTTCAGCTGCTACTGGTAAGATGTTTAATGTAATCCCTACAAAGTATTAATGCATATCTGTACAGTTTTGTATTCAACAAGTTATACACATGTAACAATTGAAATTTTGTTACGTGATGTTTGCACTGTCCCAGTCTTTGATCATGCAGTAAATCACAGGTTAATCAATTAATTTAATTTGCTGTCAATCAAATAGCTTGACCGCCAGCAATATATGTTACATAATAAATGTTGCTCAAAATACATAATTTGAAATGGTTTGTACTACTCATATAGTTGTTCCTGTTAAGAGGAGACGATGGTGGTTCTGGTAGAGAAGAATTGTTAAAGCTTTAGAGACATGATTAAACTACCTCTCTTCATGTTGTGTTTTTAGCTCCTGAAGATGCAGATGGCTTCAGAGCATCCAGTCAAGATGAGACCAACATCACTCTGCAGTGGAATAAAATAAACAACAATATCAGCTTTGTTCTCCAGTTTAATGGCAGAGAGACATCCATCAGTGCACCATATGGAAATGGACCAGTTAACTACACAGTGTCATCTCTCAGTCCTGGAACCAAATACACATTCACTCTCTTCTCTGTGTTTGAGAACATAAGAAGTAGAGGAGTACAGCTTTCAGCTGCTACTGGTAAGATCAGACTCACAACTATTAAAAACCAACAAAAGGTTGATAGGCAGTAGAAGTTCACAGTCAAACCTAAGAAAAACCAGAGACTTGTCAGTACTTTGGTGAAAGGATAGTATTCTAACAGAAAAACACTTGTGAGAGGCAGGGAGCCAAATCCTGATGTCTAAAATATTGGGAAGGTCCACAGAAGGTCAAAAAGATTTCTGTTGAACGGCTCACACTGCTCATTTCCAACAGGATGCCAATGACTATGTAACATTTTCAAGTCTAACAGATAACAGAGCTGTTGAATTCACATGAGCTCAAATCCAAGAAATCACAGGCCAAAATAACACCAAGCCATTATTTTTGGCTTGGTATTTCAAGCCAAAATAACATGGCTTTAAATACCAAACCTGAAGAACCAATCAGTCAGCAACGTCTGGGCAAAAGTGGATGTTTTTATAGTCCCAGGTTGATACAGCATCTGTGTCTTCACTAAATACATCAGATATTATAAGAAGTTTTTCCTAGTCATTGTCCAACATGGTTAAATCCATGGCAATAATCTCAGTTGGCCGTGACACCAATAAATGACTCATGAAAGTGTCTGCAGTTATATTTATAGCAACCTGACACCATTGACACTCTTGTGCCCGAGGAGGCAGTTTGTGATGTGTCCTGTCCTGATACAAGGACTTGGTTTTACCCACTGTTTGCTGACAATAAAATAGCTTCCCTGCCAGCAATATATGTTACATAGCAAAAGCTGCTTACAGTACAATACCACGTGTTGTGAGCAACAATACATAGTTGATCACAATACATGGTAAAGTAGGGAAGAATTGTTGAAATGATTTGCACCACTCATGTAGTTGTTGCTCCTAAAAGGGATGATGGTGACCGTAGTATAGTAGGCAAGAATTGTTCAAGCTTTTTCCATGGACAAGAGGCTTTAGAGACATAATTAAACTTTATCTTTTCATGTTGTGTTTTCAGCTCCTGAAAATGCATACGGGTTCAGAGCATCCAGTCAAGATGAGACCAACATCACTCTACAGTGGAATAAAATGAACAACAATATCAGCTTTGTTCTCCAGTTTAATGGCACAGACACATCAATCAGTGCACCAGATGGAAATGGACCAGTTAACTACACAGTGTCATTTCTCAGTCCTGGAACCAGATACACATTCACTCTCTTCTCTGTGTTTAACAATATCAGGAGCAGAGGAGTCAGCGTTACAGCAGCTACCAGTAAGATGTTCTTCATTATTATACCACAAAGAAGGAATCTAACAAGTACAAAAGATGTAAAGAGGTGCTTTACTTTTTTGTAGTTTTTTTTCTCATGATCTTAATAATTTAGTAATGTGATAGAGTGTATTCTGGCTCAATGCTTTTTATTTTTTTATAGTCTTCCATTAATACCAGAGGATATATTTGATGTATCAAAAGGTAGATACAGCAGCTGTGTCTTCACTAAATACATCAGTAAATATAGGAAGAAGTTTTTCCTAGTCATTGTCCAACATGGTCAAATCCATGGCAACAATCACAGTTGGCTGTGACGCCAATAAATGACTTATGAAAGTTACCGAAGTTATATTTATAGCAACCTGACACCATTGACACTCTTGTACCCGAGGAGGCAGTTTGTGATGTGTCCTGTCCTGATACAAGGACTTGGTTTTACCCGTTACTCAAACTGTGACATATATTTCCTCCCAACCGTTGTTCAAAAGAGGACGTGAGAAAAATATATGGTAGAAAGAGACCTCCATATTGTTGCATCAAATGAATTGCAGACTAAGAGTAAGGTAGATGGAAGACATCCAAGCCTTAGAGAAATGAGACTGATAAATCACCTTAAAATGGTGAACTCAACCTCAGTTTGTTCCCAACAAATTCTATAACCAGAAAACTAAAATGTATTTTACCACTCGTAAGCTATTAGCAAACTCTAAATATAACAAGAAAAATAGAAAAGCTGCCAAACCGTTTCCTGAACTGAGCTCATATTTTTAGTGAATATTTATCTAAACGGTTGGTAAGAGATGCAATAGAGTATAAAGGCCACGCAGAGGAAAGAAGGCCACAAGCAAAATGTTGTTGTTTATGCAGAGCTCCAGCATAATGCAGTCAGAATATTTGCAGTGGTCATAATAAAAGGACCAACTTACAAGATTTCTCAAGTTGAATACCTATCATAATATATGTGAAAGTTCAGCAAAATGACACATCCTGCAGTTTAGCTTTCTGAAGATAGATTCTTTTATTTTCCAATAACTATGACTTCCAGATGTGTAAAATTGTTGATACTTTTAAAATTGAGGTTAGTTCCTTCTTATTGATGTTCAACTTATAGCCTAAAAAACTGTAGAAATGACTAAGTGACACTAGAGCAGATGAAGGTGATTCGGTTGGGTTGGAGTCATAAAACAGGAGATCATCTGCATAAAGAGAGACCCTGAGCCGCACACCTTCTCTCAAAACTATAGATATATCTTTGCCACTATGAAGCAAAGCTTTTTCCACAGTACACAGACATTTGAGGTATACTTTCAGCAGCAGCGCAGAGCACATAAAAAAATGTAATGTTGATGTTCACAATGAGAGACATGGACTTCACATGAATGTTGACTCCAGAACATTATACAAAATTGTGCTCAAGTCACTTCTCTATCACATGCCCTTCTTGGCATAAAACTTTCTTAGGAATTAAAGTTTCTCACTAGTCCAGCATAGTCACACAATGTATGATTTTAAGTCTATGTGTTCAGATGACCATAAAACTCATGGAGTTTGATTTACAAGGTTAAAACATGAGTGGAATCTGTAAACATACACTCGCAGGAGGTGACCAGATTATTTTGAGTTTTAGAAGATGCAAAAGTCTTGAAATCAAAGTTAATTATTAATATATGTTTCTTCCTCTGCTTCAAGGTCAGATCAGGTTAGCTGGTGCTGAATTTTCTCAATGTTCTGGAAGAGTTGAAGTCTACCACAACAGTACCTGGGGAACGGTCTGTGATGATGATTGGGATTTAAAGGATGCCAATGTGGTTTGTAGAGAGTTGGGCTGTGGAACGGCACTACATGCTAAAAGTGGAGCCTTCTTTGGTCAAGGAACAGGACAGATCTGGCTTGATGACGTGTCGTGTTCTGGCTATGAAGCTTCACTTACACAGTGTCAGCACAGAGGATTTGGGACACACAATTGTGTACATTGTGACGATGCTGGTGTCGTCTGTTCAGGTAAAACTAACTTTTATTTCAGGCAAAAATGCTGTTTTGCTCAAATGATGTAATTTTTATTTGTATCCAAAACTTCAGTAAACATAAGGAATTAAAATAATTTGTTTTAAAAAGTAGAAGATATTCAATATGTTCTAACTTTTATTTCAGTAACTCAATTTCCAGAGTGTCATCTTATGTAGAAGAATTACCCACAGGCTGATATTTTCTGTAAACTTTGAATATTTGTTACTATTTTTTAAGTTGAGGACGAGAATATTGCATAAGATCAATTACAAAACAAACCTTAATAAAAAATGTGGGCCTAATGATAAGTTTATTACCTGCTTAAAGATTGAGGCTAAGGTCTTCGGTGGCTTGTTCAAGTGAAGAAATGCATTAATCGTGGCCATCTAAAGAAATTCCAAAGGACAACTTGCGGCTTGAGTTGGACAAAGTCCATGCAACTTGCCAGTCTTCTTCAAATAACTCTTGCAATAAATCTTCCTTCGAAGGGTCAAGTCCATCTTGAGATCTTGAATTCTCCTGTGGTTGTGCGGTCCAGCACAGTTGCACTGACCCCATGTGCGCATTTATGAGATTTGGTCTAACAATGCAACCCCTCCACTTCCTCATGAGTGTCTCTCCAAGACCGTGGGAAGTTTAAACTTTTAGTTTACAAGATGGCAAAATTCATGAACAACTACATATTCTACTTACAAGAACAATACATCACATACATTTTTGGCTTGCACAAATAAACATGGAAACGGATTAAATTTCCAGCCATTTAACTTACAAAACTTAATTTGAAAACCACACAGTCCGATATAGAGATAAGAACTGACTGGGATTTGTGAAACTACATTTGCTGCAAGTAAGTGGATTTTCTTGTTTCTTAGAAGATGGAATATTGGAATACAGTCCAAATAATACAGTGTTTCTTCTTGAAGGTCAGATCAGGTTAGCTGGTGATGGATTTTCTCGATGTTCTGGAAGAGTTGAAGTCTACCACAACAGTGTCTGGGGAACGGTCTGTGATGATGATTGGGACTTAACGGATGCCAATGTGGTCTGTAGAGAGTTGGGCTGTGGAACAGCATTGGAGGCTAAAAGTGGAGCCTTCTTTGGTCAAGGAACAGGACAGATCTGGCTTGATGACGTGTCGTGTTCTGGCAATGAAACTTCACTTACAAAGTGTCAGCACAGAGGATTTGGGACACATGACTGCGGACACAATGAGGATGCTGGTGTCATCTGTTCAGGTAAATTTTACTTCTACTTTTGAGGAAATGCTACATACTTTTGAAATAATTTCATTTCTACTTACATAAAAACAACCTAACAGAAGAAAACAAATGTTTTTTTTTTTGTTTTTTTTTAAATGAAAGTCAGTAATTACTTGATTGTGCTATGAAACACAACTCACTGTGTTTCATAGTTACTCTATGGGAATAATAGTACATTTATTTCTATGATATCAAGTAGGATTTCAAAAAGGACTTAAGTACAATTTCTTCATTTTGTCAAACAGAACATTAGAAACAACTTGGATGCATTTTTGTTTTGTTGGAGGAAACATTTATATAAAGTTTCCAGGGGAAACAGAAGCTCAATTTGATAATTTAAACACTCATTTCAAACCAGTTATTTTAAATAGTATTGAATTCCCATGTTCTGCTACTCATAAACATATGGTTGTATAATTGAGCAACTAAATGCAGGTGTTTTTACCTGCAAGTGTAAATGTTGAGTTGGGGGCCAGCAGAAGCCTATTTGGATTTGAAGTTACAAGAGGCCCTAAAACATCTCATCCTGAAAAGAGCAGAACTGACCAAACTAAAATCTCGTCATCCAAGAAGGATTTTGTGCAAAGAAATGTGATGAGCATGTTGTATATATCTATTGATGTGTCCTAACCTGTTTGAGGTAATAGGTCACCTTTAAGGAAATGCATTTATCTCTATGACTCCAAGAAAGTTAAAAATAAAACAGTCTTGTTCAATCTGGCATCAAATAGCTAAAAATATTTTGGTAATACAAAGTGACCAACGTACAATGTCAAATTTGCCGACTTTTATAATTTTCTTCTAACCTCATTGTGTTTTTAGAGCTTGAAAATGCAGATGGGTTCAGAGCATCCAGTCAAGAAGAGACCAGCATCACTCTGCAGTGGAATAAAGTAAACAACATTATCAGCTTTTTCCTCCAGTTTAATGGCAGAGCAACATCCATCAGTGCACCATATGGAAATGGACCAGTAAACTACAGAGTGTCATCTCTCAGTCCTGGAACCAAATACACATTCACTCTCTTCTCTGTGTTTAACAATATCTGGAGCAGTGGAGTCAGCGTTACAGAAGCTACTGGTAAGATGTTTAACAAAATCCTTATGTAGTATTAATGCATATCTGTATTGCTTTGTATTTGGCACCGGTAATATAAGTGTAACAATTTTTTAAACGTTGCTTGAGGCTTCATATTTGTCCGAAATAATGTCAGAAATTACCGAACATGCTCATTATATTTCTTTGCACAAAATTACAGAATTTCTGACATTAGGTAATTTCTGACATTACACTGGTTTTAGTGGCCAGTTCAGACAAAAAAGAGAAAAAAAAACATATTTAGGATAAAATACAAAATGTGGAATGAGACACAGTTTGTCTTATTCAATAGACAAAATGTGCGTGTACCAGAATGAACAAGTCATGAACCTTATTTCATTATTTTAATGTCATAACATAATGACATTATTATATTGTGGGATGACTCAAACAAGTTTTAAATATTCAAGGCATTTCAACAAAATATTAAATATGCCTTTATTTTCATAACAGAAAAAAATCTGATATTAAGTTTTTTTAAAACTGCATAAGATCAATTACAAAAAAAATTTATCAATACAAAAATATGGGCCCGATGATAACTATGTTTATTATCTGCTTAAATATTGAGGATTAGGTCTTCTGTGGCCAGCTGAGAGACCAGAAAAAAAAATTAGTATGAAAAATAAAAAATGAAAACAGTCTCCTCAACGGAGAAATGTAGGTGTAATATGAAATGTCTTATGACTGTAAAAAATAAAAATAAAAAAGATTCCTGTATTTTCTTTCTGTGTCAGACTTAACACCATGAATGAACTACTTCTAATCATGTTGTGTTTTTAGCTCCTGCAAATGCAGATGGCTTCAGAGCATCCAGTCAAGAAGAGACCAGCATCACTCTGCAGTGGAATAAAGTAAACAACATTATCAGCTTTGTTCTCCAGTTTAATGGCAGAGCAACATCCATCAGTGCACCAGATGGAAATGGACCAGTAAACTACACAGTGTCATCTCTCACTCCTGGAACCAGATACACATTCACTCTCTTCTCTGTGTTTGACAATATCAGGAGCAGTGGAGTCAGCATTACAGCAGCTACTGGTAAGATGTTTAATGTAATCCCTACGAAGTATTAATGCATATCTGTACAGTCTTGTATTCGACAGGTTATACACATGTAACAATTGAAATTTTGTCACATGATGTTTGCACTGTCCCAGTCTTTGATCATGCAGTAAATCACAGGTTAATCAATGAATTTAATTTGCTGTCAATCAAATAGCTTGACCGCCAGCAATATATGTTACATAATAAATGTTGCTCAAAATACATGATTTGAAATGGTTTGCACTACTCATATAGCTGTTCCTGTTATAAGGAGATGATGGTGGTTCTGGTAAAGTAGAGAAGAATTGTTAAAACTTTAGAGACATGATTAAACTACCTCTCTTCATGTTGTGTTTTTAGCTCCTGAAGATGCAGATGGCTTCAGAGCATCCAGTCAAGATCAGACCAACATCACTCTGCAGTGGAATAACATAAACAATAAAATCAGCTTTGTTCTCCAGTTTAATGGCAGAGCAACATCCATCAGTGCACCATATAGAAATGGACCAGTTAACTACACAGTGTCATCTCTCAGTCCTGGAACCAAATACTCATTCACTCTCTTCTCTGTGTTTGAGAACATAAGAAGTAGAGGAGTACAGCTTTCAGCTGCCACTGGTAAGATGTTTAATGTAATCCCTACAAAGTATTAATGCATATCTGTACAGTTTTGTATTCAGCATCGGTGAGATACTTGTAACAAGTGCATATTAATTGTTATTAGGTTTTTTTTATATTTGTCTTTAAATAATGTCAGAAATGATCCTATCATTATACATTATTCCATAGACACAATGTGTGCGTGCCAGTAGGAACAGGCCATGAAACTTATTTCTAGCCCCTAGAGAGGAGCATTAAGTGTTTATGACATTATTATATTGTGGGTTGACTCAAGCAAGTTCTACATATTCAAGGCATTTCAACAAAAATATTAAATAAGCTTCTATTTTCACAACAGAAAAAAAAAGTTTTGGTATTAAATTTTTAAAAATGAAAAAAAAAACAAATAATATAAAAATGCTGGCCTGTTAATAAGTATGTTTATTATCTGCATAGAGTTTGAGGCTAAGGTCTTTAGTGGCCAGAGAAGAAAGAAAAAAAACATTTTTAAGATTAAATACAAAAAATGGAAACAGTCTTTAATCTACCACAAAAGGGGAATACAAAATGTATTTACTGTAAAAAAATAGCCTGTATTTTTGTTCCTTTTATACAATGTTAGACTTAGAAACATGAACACACTACTTCTAATCATGTTGTGTTTTTAGCTCCTAAAAGTGCAGGTGGCTTCAGAGCATCCAGTCAAGATGAGACCAGCATCACTCTGCAGTGGAATAAAGAAAACAACAATATCAGCTTTGTTCTCCAGTTTAATGACACAGAGACATCCATCAGTGCACCATATGGAAATGGACCAGTAAAGCACACAGTGTCATCTCTCGGTCCTGGAACCAGATACACATTCACTCTCTTCTCTGTGTTTAACAATATCAGAAGCAGTGGAGTCAGAGTTACAGCAGCTACCAGTAAGATGTTCTTCATTATTATACCACAAGGAAGGAATTTCCTAAAACCACTACAGATATTCTATAAAAATATACATAATATAGAAACGTGAGCTATGCATTTGCTGTGCAATCTAACAATGAAAAATTGTTAGAGTGAAATGTGAAGAACAAAATGCTGCAATAACTTGTTTACACATTACATTTTGATTGAATTTCAAAATCTTTTGCAAAACTGTCAAATTGTTTTTCTTTTAGACATGATCATCTAAGATATTTTGGGGGAATTTTATATTTTTTTTTATTTTTTGGTATGTACTAAGTTTTCTGTTTAAAAGTCATGTTAAAATCTATGTCTAGACTTTCTGGGATGGTCTTGGTATCTGTTAACTGCTTACAGTTCTAGTTTGTTGGTTTTCTTCTTGAAACCCCCTCAAAAATTTAGATTTTAATCTAAGCTAGTTGAATCTAAATCTTTTTCTACAAGATAAAAAATTTTATGCCCTAATTAATTTTAAAATTTATATCAGAGATTTTCTCTTAAAGTCCTGAGATATGCATTTCATTCCTTTTGCTTTTTCCGGTTTTGACTAATTACTAGAGATCTAACAGATTTATTGGCACTTATTTGTAAAATTTCTTAATTTAATTAACTGAAATCTAAATGTTATTCACTTTAAAATTTGCTTTGTTTCTGACATATTTTCTCCCATTCTTGTTTTGACAGGTTCTATGCCTACATTTGGTCAATCATCCAGGGTCTGCAAATGCACACTGATGTCTGCTTCATGTGAACAAACATCAAGATCTTCTCTTCTCAAACAGAAAGACTTAACAAGAGTGGTATCTTTCACATCTGTAGAAGACCCTTTGACAAAGGACTTGCTGAACTCATCTGTGACCTTCAATAATATGTCTTCCCTGATAAAGAGACAAGTAAATACTGTCCGCTCAAAATGCGTCTTGTCTTTTGGACTGCTCACAGTTGAACCCGTCTCTGCTGGTGTTTCACTCCGACTTCTTTTCTGCTTCTGTAGCTCGAACCATTCTTCCAGAAAAGGTTTTCCTCTGCCTTCCTCTCCATGGAGGTTTCTACAATCAGGTAATTTTACTTCCACATTGCAGTTCGATTTAAATTTTAAACTTACTGAACATCTTGTTTCTATTTTGACTGCGTTCCCAGAAAAAGCTCGGTTATCCACACCGTGAACCTCAAGTTTAGAGGCACGTCTGTTCCTGACAACAATGAGATACGGGATGTTTTGATCGAGGCGGCTTCGTCTATCGTCGACTTCAGCATCGAAACGAAATCGATCAGCATTCTTAGCTAAAGTAAAAATATATGGTTGTAGAGTAATATCACTGTATGACAGTTATGGTAGAACTGTCCCATGGAGGAAAAGATGCAAAAAAGTGCAGAGAGATGAAGAATGTGGTACAGTTGCCAGACATCTACATGAGCGTTCTAATTATTTTGGGTCAACTATTTATTTGTTTTTTATTATGTTTAATTTCTTAAAGGTTAAACTTCATTTAAATTCAACAACTGTAAATATTCTGTCTTCCTCACAAGTTAAAAAATATTCATTCAGGCAATCAAATAGCTAGCATGTCATTTATTCATATATATATATATATATATATATATATATATACATAAGATTTATGGTATGGCAAAAAAAAAAAAAGTAGAATATGATGTTGAAGTCATCGTCAGTAACAAAGATAAGTCTAAATAAACCAAGTTATTTATTTGTAACTAATATTGTTGTATTTTTTTCTCTCTATTTACAGCTTGAGGTGTGGAAAGCCTGAAGATCAGTCTTGAGTCACTATGGTTTAAACCAAATACATAATTACATGTTATTACATATTACTCCTTGTACTAAAGCTTCATGTCTATAAAAATAATTATTGAGCTGCAATAATTATTTTTGCATTTAGATTATACTGCTAGTAATTATTTGTATTTGCTGCTGAAGGGAAGGTGTGCTTTAAAACATTTAAAGTCATTGTCAAACATTAACTGTTTATGTAATTTTATGGCCTATTCTGAGTAGAAATGAAAAAAGAGAAAAATAAATCAATTGTGAATAAAAATGTAGCTTCTTTCTTGAGATGCTTCTAAGCCTTGAGCTTATGATATAAAGTTGTATTCAACGAGTGCTTAAAATGGTTTTATTATGTTTCATTTTAATTTTAAGTCTGAAATTAGAAAATAAAAGTGATTACAAAATTAAAGCGTGTTCTCTCATTTTGGTTTTCGTAGCTAAAATGAATCTTAGTGGACACTGGACGTACAGGTGATCAACCGACTGTACGAGTTTCACCTTTCTCAAAAAGTGGACTTACATTCCTAAGTCTGGGAAAGGCTTTCAGTCTATTTAAGTGAAGAGTCTCTTTGTTAGTCATTGTTCCTCTATCACCATTAAATCCTATTTACCAGACATTACCTTGGTAGCACAAAAGAAAATACCAGGACTTCCTTTCTATAAAGACCAAAAGGGACTTTCTGTGGGCCAGATATTGAGATGGGAATGACTAAGCACTCGCAACAACTATGGTAGAGTGAAAAATCAATCTGAGAACAAAAGCTGGTGTGTTTCAGACAAAAGAATAAAAACAAGAGAGCAGATGCAATCAAGTCGGATCTCACTGTGAAAGATTTCTGGGAATGCTACCAGCGAGGCCAAGCAATTTCAATATCACAGTTAATATGAGAGGTTCAAGTTTTGGTGTTTATTTTCATCCAGAGAACTTTTTTCCTTGCTCATTTAACTCTTAAATCACTCAACTCTTATTGTTGAGAAATGCTTCTTGTCATATAACAGCATCTGGATAAACAAAGTTCCCAAATTACTGATCCGGCTATAAAAAATAATGATGACAATAATAATAATAACCCTAAAATTACAGCAGCTCAGTTCATTGAAAATTAAAACAATTAAAAATGACAGTAATAACTGGATTCTGTGGGGACGTGGGGATTTCGATCTGGTCAAAACGGTGCGGACTTTATTTTGATATTGCCGCTGCCGATACCATAAAAGGTTAACCGGAAGAGGAAAACGCAGGGATTACAGCGCGTTCCCAGCATCCTAGCTGCACCGAGCATCCTAAAAATAAACTCCTCGTGAAATCTGCCTCGATCATTCTTTTTTTGGAGATAAAACACATTTTATTACGGAGGACTGATTCGTTTTTTTCCGTTAAGGAGGGGCTGCTGTTGTTGTTGCTGTGGACTGGAGCTGCAGCAGGCCGCCCACCATCTGTGGAAGTGGGACAGCGGGACAGATGGCGTCTCCAAGCCGAGCCGCGGGGCTTTGTCCAGCACAACAGACAAGGTGCCGTCATTAAAATAGCCGGCGTTTGCAGCTTGTTTTATTTTTTGCGCGACTTTCTCCTCCACCGTGATCAGCCATGTTGGAGTGACTGGGTGCAACTGGAGGACCGGAACGCGTCCGTGCACCGCACGAGCTGAGACCGGCTCCCCTCCCTCCCCCTCCCCACCCCGCCGACTTAATCCCCTTTAAGTCCGTCTCTGGGTGAACAATGGTCGACAACCGCTACGCCACCGCTCTGGTCATCGCCTGCGTGCTGAGCATCCTGGCCACCGTGTATCTGTCGGTGGCCGTCGGCACGCAGCACTGGTACCAGTACAGCAGCCCCACCGTGCGCGGCGAGGCCAACGTGTCCGAGCTGCGCTCCCTCTACGACGAGTTCATGACCGGGGAGTTCGACGAGAAGACCTACAGCGACACGCTGTTCCGCCTCAACGGGACCGTGGGGCTGTGGTGGCGCTGCGTGCTCGTTCCACCCTCTGCCCACTGGGGCAGGGAGCCAGGTATGTGGCTGTGACCCACCACCGACTGGCCCCAGGGCCCGGAGCCACACCTGCAGTCATACCAGCTGCACACCTTTCAGTGCAGCTGTCGCCGCAGATGTGACTCACAGGTTGGACCTGGAGTCATCTATTCTAATTAACTGAATTGCATGTGCCAAAAACATGAGTCACTGCAGCTTGACGTAGGTTAGATTGGGTCAGGCCACATTCATTTCGTTTCGGTTCAGTTGTTGATTTTTTTTTTCCCCCCAAGCACTTTTAACGAGGTGCCATTTTTATTTGTTTTGTTTTCATTATACAAACTGTTCTGGCCACCGTGTATCTGTCAGGCGCTGGTACCAGTACAGCAGCCCGTGTGCTCACTTTCACCCAAAGACTCATAACATGACAAAACAATATGAGCTCTACTGGAAAAGCAATAAGCATCAAATAGCTCCAAAATACCAGACCAGCCTCAAAAGTCACAATATGCACATGTGTAAGAGTTTTGGAAGAAAAATATTCAACACAAATTACAGTTACAAACCAAAATTTGCCATTAATAAAACCTGCTTTTCTGCAAAGCGAAAAACAGGTTTCGCTTTGCAAAGCTGCCTTTGCACGGAGAGCAGTTCTGCTCTCAAGAATTGGCTCTCAAAAGCAACAGTCTCACCAGGTTCCCCGGTGTCTCATATCAGTAATCAGTGTTGCACAGAAGACGAGAAAGCCCAACCTACCCACAGGAGCCTTAACACCACAATAAAGTGAAAAGGTCTGGCCGACCATGATGTTATTGGATAACTTTTTATTTACTGAAGCGGTGCATACCATTGGTTCATGAGCTATGAACAAATAACTCAACCAATTTTGATTAGCATCTGAAGTGGAATCTCTTGTGTTTTCTCATTCATGAAGCATAAATGCAGTTATTCCACTAATTAGCAAATTGACGGATTAATGTACACATACATTTTTTTTTTGTGACATTGTTGGATTTTTACACACTTCACCCAGTTTTTGTTAACTGCATTTCCTGACTTATACTCGAAGTAAACAACAAAATCTCTTTCAGATGCAAAGATGTTGCTGGAGTGTCGAAACTTCACTCTGCCGGAGCAGTTCACCCCTAAATACAAAGAGCCGGGGAACCACAACAGTGGAGAGGACATGCTCCGCACCTGTACGTTCAGAAGACACACACAACAAAATCATCCCGTACTATGACCAAAATTTGCGTGACAATGAACATGTACTTCTTCGTTAGAGTGTGGTTTACTACTGACGTGTTGATGTCTCTCCTAAAAAAAGATTTGTGGAGGTGCCAATTTCTGCTTCCTCTGGCGTCTCTCGGTCTGGTTGTGCTGGCGGGCCTGATTGGGTTTTGCGCCTGCCTTTGCAGAAGTCTCAGTCCCACATGGGGCATTGGAGTTCTTCATCTCTTGGCTGGTAAGACCGGTTTCTGTGCTTCTCATGGCGTCAAACAATGCAGTCAGTAATCTACGACTTTAAATAAGACGTCAGCATGAACTCTTCAAAGGGTGACCTACTTGTCAATGTTTGCTGTTGACAATGTGCCAGCATGTACAGTACTCTATATAAAAATTAATTAAAGCATTCATTCCTGCTTTTATTCACTTCCATAAAACCAGACCTTCTCGTACAGATTTCTGAAGATCTCTGAAGGGTTTTTATGGTGATAGGCTTAAGATGTAGAGTTATGGCTCTCATATAAACACAGTATATAGTTAAGTTTTCTGGTACAAGTTTGGACACGTTTTTGCGTGTGTGTCTTGTGTGGCAGTGGTGCACTTACTCCACAAGTTTGATTTGAGTTGCTCCCGAATGGAGCAACTCAAATCAACCTGGAAAAGTTTTTTCTGACGTGTTACCGTCCAATTTTGATGAGCCTGTGTGAATTGTACTGGTATGTCTATTTTTCCTAATTTTAGCCGACAGGCCTGGGATCTGGTGGGCTCTTCTGCTAGACCATGGGCTCAGAGTTAGCATTCTGAGATGATGTTCCCCATACATTGGTACAAAAGAGTTTTATTTGAGCTTCTGCTGCCTGTCTGTCATCTCAAGCTAATTTTTCTGTAGTCATCTGACATCAGCGAGGTGTTTTAGGTCACAAAACATGTTCCTCACTAATTGTCTGTATTTTGGTCCATTTCCTCCCTGACTGAGCATAAATATTCCTCTCAGAAACTAGGACCGACATGCAAAGACAGTCCAGATTCTAAAGCCTGGTTTGAACTACAATGGGTTGGCTTCCTATAATCTAAATACCTATTTAATTAAGTTTCAGGTTCACTAGTTTTATAATAACCAACTAGAAATGTGTATCTAATAAGGTGGCCAGTGAGTGTGAACGTAAAAGAGCTGAAGAATCGGAAACCATCTAAGCCGAAGTACCGTAAGAGTAAAGGAGCTCAAAACAGAGTAGTGAGACGCTGAACAGAAAGTTCATTGATTGACTACAGTAAAAACCTGTGGTTTGGTTGTTTTATCCAGTGAGCAACGTTGCAGTTTCTTATCAAAGCCTCTTCAGATTTTCGTCTAGGAAGTGACCGGCTTTCCATTTCTATACCATGAATGCAACAGCGTGGATCGGCGCATGACTAATTCAAGTTCAGTCACAGATGGTGAAATACTGTGGAATCGTCTTGACAAAGAACAGAACAAAAAGCAACCCCAGGAAACAGGATCGTTATGACAAATGCAAACTGCTTTCCCCCATACGGCCGTTTATATTTTCACCTTTTGGTTAACCGCTGCCTATTTTTCTGAGGATTCATGTCAGAAACCGGATTAGCAAAGCAAACTCTTAGCAGATTTCTGTGTCATCCTGCTTTTTACAGGCCTGTGCACCCTGGCCACGGTGTGCTGCTACCTGGCTGGGACGGACCTGCTCCACAGAGTGTCGATGCTCCCTGACAAGGTGGATGGTTCTCTGGGTTGGTCCCTCTACCTGGCCCTCATCTCCTCGCCCCTGCACATGATGGCCGCCGCGCTGCTGGTGTGGGCGGCGCGCAGTCACAGCCAGAACTATTACCGCATGACTGCCTACCGGGTGGCGTGAATATGTGGTTTCTATCCCATCTTATCTTTTAAAGTCTAGACTAAAAACCTAGACAGCATTCATTTGATTTTTTTTTTTCTCTCTCTCGGGCTGCTGATGAGAAAAGATAAGTCGAGTGTAGCACAATGTTCAGGTCAGAAATGCTGAAAATTAGCTGATTTTTACTTTTTCAAATTTAGATTTGTTGGTAAAACCTCAAAATCAACTACATTAAAAAAAATACCTGCCTGGATCTCCGGTTAAGCTTTAATATAATTTACTTCTACAGGAGTAAAATCAGGGTTTCCTCAATGCTTTTAAAAGTGACACATTTTCTTTTGTGTCTTCTGAAAATGACAACACAAACTCCACAAGTGCGGTTCACTGGTTTGTTACAGTCGGCTACCGCAAAGCAAGGTGGAGGTTTGTTATCCTGCGGTTTGGCACTGCATCACTCACTCACTCAGCTGAGAAAAATAATCAAGATCATAATCACGTTATGACACTGCACCAGCCAGTGTCATGCGAAACTACGCCCTGGAAGGAGATTTCTGGGGCAACGCCTCTCCCTCCCCCCAAACAATGGCACGAAATAAAAATTTTTTTAAAATTGACATTTGAACAGAAGCTCTTAAGTTATGAAATGATCCATGTCACCACAAGAGATGAAACATCCTCATATCTCCAGATATCAGGACACAGATGCCAGATGTTTTTTGGCAGGTTGTTCTTGTTGAGGACGTTTATGAAGTTCGTCAGCAGCGAGTGTGCCCTGTCTTCAGTCTTGCGCCGCAGAATTGGATTATTTCGGTTGTTGCTTTTGAGCTTCAAATCAGTTTATTTATATTGCACCAATTTACAACAATTATCATCTGAAAGCCCTTTACAAAACATGCAGATCTAATTTCTATGCAAAAATTCTAGTTATAATGGATTGCAGTCGGGTTCAGTTTATAACGCTAATTGGCAAAATGTTGAGAAATTAGCATTCATTTCTTTAAGTAATTGACCTTGCAGCAATCCCTCCTCCAGGGCAAGAAAGTGGGACATTGAATTTTACTTTGCAGCAATCACTCATATTGAGCAAGAATCTTGCTGAAGCGGAAAAGAACAGGCAGCCGCAGACACGAGCAGCAGCAAATTAAATTGCTGTTGCGTGGCTTAAATTACAAAGTGAAAATCCATCTGCCGGTTTTAGTTTGATGGCTTCATGGAGATCGAGGATTCAACCTTCATGCAGCCCTTTAAGTAATTTTGGTACTAAAGTATTTTGTAAGACGGTGGTTTCTCTCTTTGTGATTTTTGCACGTAATCGAGTGAGCAGTGCATGCACACTGTTAACAATTTCAGGAAAAAACAACAGACGTTACTTAAGACCCAATCTTTCCAAACTGGAACTCAGATTTTAAAGACTATTAACAATGTCTTTCAAATCTGATTCAAAGCAGATTTTATGTACATCAGTACTTAGTGTTTTACCGGTAAGTTCTTAAAAAAACAAAACAACCTAAAGATCATGAACTTTAAAGCATATAACCATAATTTCTGCTATTTCACAATTGCTCCTACGATCTTATTCATAGTTACAGTGAAGACAATTCAGTGGTTATCTAAGCGTTATGAGACCACACCTATGTGACAGACACACCTTATGTGCTGAATGTTTCAAGCGAAACACAAAGACATTCGTGCAATTGTCTCCACAGGCTTTGAAACAGAATGTCTCTGAGAAGTTAAAGATTATTACTGCATCCATGTTATTCCTGACAAAATGTCACGTTGATGGCTTTTTTTTTTTTTTGCTATTTAACTTGATTTATTTATTCTTTATATGTATACAAAGTATGTTGTTTTGTTACTTTTTCATGCACGTTTAATATGATTTTGTAGAGGAAAACATTCAATTTGTGTAATTTAGTGACGCAATACCTTCTGTTTTGTCCATCTGGCTATTTTTGTGGTTTTGTTTCCTGCTTTGTGTTTTGATGTTTCTTTGATTGTGAAAATAAGTCATCAGAAATGAGGGAGAGTGTGTCTGCCCCTTCTAAATTATGAATGTACTTTAAGGCCATATGTGGAAGAACTGCTGAATTTGTTCCGCAATTTTACATTACTGAATATCCATGTAATTTTACATTGATGTATATATATTTGGAGGAAATAAACACACTTGCTGGATGGTGACAGATGAGCAACAGTTTCATGACATTTCTGAATGGTTTGATAAACGTTCTGCTTGGTTGGATTGTATTTTACTCATCGAAACATCAAACACAAACGCCTCTTCTATCCCTGAATGCGCTGTTGACACATGATGTTTGTGAACCTAAAGTGAAACTGTTGCTATTTGTGTAAATACGTGTGCGTATATGCAAGGCTTGTACGTGTTATTTCATTAAAAAAAAGATTGCTAAACATAATTTTACACTAGTCTCATATGAAGAAGGTCTTCACTCCTCTTCCTCTGATGCAAAGCTCTGCTCACTCGCTCGTTCTTCCTCATCCGTTTGCACACGGATAGACGGGACGGTCACACGCTTCTTTCTGGCCAGGGACAGCGCGATGCCTTTCTCGTAGTAAGCGCATTCGTTGATGAAGAAAGCGTAGAGCGGCTCGTTGCCCTTGTATTTTATTGTTTCTCCTGAGAACGCCTGGAAGAGGGGCTCTCCAGGGTGGAGCAGGCAAAAGTCTCGGCTCTGTGAGAGAAAGCACTTTGAGGTTTTAAAACCTAGAGGGACGTCATGTTGTACATGAAACCAAACATGAAAATGGAAATGTTTAAAACGTCAAACTGTTGAAGCTCCAGAGGAAGCTGGAACAAGAGCATGTTGGTGACGTATTAAAATGTCAACCTGTGTCATTCATAAATAAATTAACCTATATTTCCGAAAATGAATTCCTAGTTTTGTTGCAACAGCAAAACTTGACATAAGATAATGTAGAAAAATCCAACTTTTAATTGAGGGGACTTTTAGTCAGCAGTTGGGAAATCAAAACCAAACATTTTTACACATTAACTAGAAATTTCCATTTCTGAAAGTTAAAATTCAGCAGAAACCTTTCATAAATAATCTTTGTACTCCTGGGGTAGGAATATGATGTGTCACAAAAGGAGTAATTTTTTCTCAAAATGGGAAAGAAAAGAGCACATGTCATTAAAGTGAAGCAGCTCTGCTGAGCTTCAAAACTCAACAATTTTCTACAAAAAATACAAATCTTTGCCCTTTTATAGACAAAGTAATATAACTTAATTTACGAAAAGTGAATCCATCAGCATGAGCATTTATTTAGGTTGTTACATTGAGCTAGAGGCCTGAGTTTAGACTAATTTCAAACGAAACATGCTGACAATTTAAAGTAGGATATGTTTTTTGAAAGACAAAAATTTCTCAAACCTGAATTTAATGCCTACATGTTCAAAAATGTTCGAGTTAAATCATGTTTTTATTGAACAGTGTTGTTTTTAATGAGAAATTCTTTCACTCTGTCAGGCAGAGGCTGGACTTTCATTCATAACCGAGCTACCAATTCTGCTTCAACATCAGGCTTCATGACATATAAAAGCAATTTAATGTTGTTACTGTTGATGTTTTTCATCCTCATTGAATTTATACATGAAGCGACCAAGATTTTATTATATTTACAATAGAAGATGCCGTTTCTCAAATTGCAGTTTTGCGAGATATTGCTTGCTTTTCTTTTATTTGTCAAACTACTGAGCGGAGGCCGTACCTGCAGGCGTGGATGGATGGCTGCCGTAATGTTGAAAGTCTCGCTGTCTCTGGGATAATCTACGTTTTTAACCATGGTGAACACGTCGACTGGTCCTCCCTCAAACACACAGCCTGGAGATACAAGCAGCAATGTTTGTGCTAATGTCAATGCACCGCTTAATGATTTTCACTTTTGCAAAAGTGAAAATCAGATGTTTGCTTTGTGGCACTTCGTTACTAAGAAAACATGCTTATCGCCTAGCAACAGATTAACAACAAATATTGTTATTGTTCAAAAAACAAAAGATTTCTTCAGCTCTTTTGAAACACCGCTTATCATTCCACTTGGCGATTTTGGTTGAAAAGTGAACGTGTTTTTTATTTCTTTTTTTGTCATTGATGGTAAATATATAATAAAACAGATACTCAACACAAAAGTAAAAGTATAAATCTGATTTACACTTTGTAGCAGTTACCAGAAAAATCTCTCCTGTCTTGACGCAAAATTACCAAGTAATATTGTTTATAAAACATAAGCTTTTTTGAAACAGTGCTTTGCAGGGCATTTCAATGCAGGCTGCAGGAACTGGGGCCTAACATAACCCCAGTTATGTGGGGTCATGTTAGTAGTATTTTTGTATGTTGTATTTTTCTGTGGTGAAAATACCACAGAAAATTAAAATAAAACTGTAATAACATGATATAGTAATTATCTTTTGCTTTTGCAAAAAATACTCTATGTACTATGACAGTTATAATGGTGTCGATAGAAATATGTTTTCTTTTTAATATTGATATGTGCAAACATTTAAAATAAACATGAACTAAATTTAAATCTGCTCACAGTGGAGAATGTTGCAGCTTATTGCTGTTGTGTTCTTCACAGACTGAAACTATCATCATTAAAGTGATAGTAATGTAGTGTTTCCTTCAGCAAGCTGACTGGCAGTGTGCAGCAACAGGCAAAGGGATAGGAAGTTCCCTTTATGCTCCATGCAGCCTCTGCTCTCTTTGTTACTCTGTATGTCGAGTGAACATTTAGTAATTAGTAATATTTAATTTTTATTTCTAATTCTGCTTAGTTTAGTACAATTTTAAGGTACTCTACCCACCCCTGCATACAGGTAACTGAGCCACGTTCGCATTGGACTCACCTGAGTTAAAGCAGCTGACCCAATCCCGCATGTGCTGCACGCCTTCTTTCATTGCTGTGTAAATGTTTGACTTGACACATCCATGAGGCTGAGGACCAATCTCCATGGCTGCACAAAGCAGGTTTCAGACGAAAATATCCGTTCAGTGGGTTTAGACACATTTATGTTAAAAACAGTAAAAGGTAAAAACTCACCAAAGCCGTGTTTTCCAATGGAATCGAGGGAATATGACTCTTTAGTGGAGACATCAAAATGGATGAATCTCATCGGCGTATCCGGCATCAGCTTCTAAAAGAAAGTACAAGAATAAACCCAAAGTTTTATATATTTTTATATATATATATATATATATATATACACATGGAAATGGTTGGTCAAGTTTTCCTGAGTTTTTTTTCCAAGTTTTAATTTGGACTTTGTTAATCTCATCTTCTGACCATTATGATCATTTTGCAAATCTCACCTAATCCATCTAGGAATCACCCATGTGTAAAAATATTCTAAAATACTTTGAGCGTGAACCAGAGTTGAGTGTACTCCAATCGGATAACTTACCAAAGAACCGGTTTGAAATGTATCTTTCTGCACAATTACCATCAGTTTGTGACAAAGGTACAATTTGTTCTTGGTTCTTCGATTTCAAAGTAACTATGTGCACTGGCTTGCAGAAAGTATTGGTGTCACTTGAACATTCACACACTTGTTAGAGTATAAACAAAGTGACAAGTTAAGCAAGGTGAGGATTATAGAGAAACAGCCAAGAGGTAATCCTCGAGACGCTTCAGAGATCCACAAATATTATTGTCAACTCCAAAAATCTCAAGTGCACATCTCCAGCTCGCTCAGCTGCCTTCCTCTCCAGCAATGGGCCATGCAGCTTCTTGGCTGAAATAAATGCTTTTGTTATCGTTCATACATCACTGTTCTTATCCTCATCTGAAATCAAAAGAATATCTCAGCTTTCAGTCCATGGAGCAAATCCAAGCATACCTTCTCTAGAGCACTTGAGTGCAGCCACTTTTGAAAGTGCGACAGATATTAAATATTATGTTGACATCAGTTAGATAATTTCAAAACAGGCATTCAGTAAAAACGTTCTGAAAATGAAATTGTGTGTTGAGAAAAAAAACAAAGTAAAGTGTCTGAAGGTTTAGGAAGTGCTGCAGAAGATGATTTAACTTTGGGTGATTTATGTCTCAGGTCTACAACAGATTTTATCTAATTTCTTAAAGCCTTTCAGATGCTGTTCATCTGCTGTAGATGGTTTTTACATGATGTGGACTCTTTACATTTCTACTTTGTCCACTGTTATTTTATTTTCAACCAACATTGAAGAGTCCGGTCATGGCCTCTTCAATGTTCAGACAGAAAAATATTGAAACTACTTGAGATTTCTATTAAACATTACAAGACAGTCTGGACGCTTTCTGGCAGATCTCAACTAATATGTCCACTATTTCTACTCAGGTTGAAACTGAGAACTTAAAGTATTTACCTGCAAGTATCTAAATATGTGAAGGCAGATCCAGTCACAGTCAGAATAAGCGATGAAGCACAGGCCCATGTTGGCGGTGGTGTTGTGAAGGTCACAGATGAGATCCACTGCCGCCCGGCTGCCTTTGGGACCCAGCAGGGCATTCAGTTCCCGGGCCCTGAAGATCTCATAGGGGGCCCCCTCTGATATGGGGCCACTAGGACACAAGCACCATAGTTAATGGAGTGCTGTACTAACTTAATGTATGGTTTTATTTATTGAGGTTAAGGTGGAAACCAAGTCAACCTGTTCAGGTAAAATAAATAAATAAAGGAATTCCCCCTGAAATCTAGTAAATAGTTGTTTCAAGTACACAGTTTCTTGTTGAAATAACCCTGAAAAGAGTTAAATTGACACCAATTCTGATAAGGACCAAATAGACTCGGCATAGTGTTGATTTAACTCTGCAGAATTCACTGTCCACAAAGAAAGAAAAAAATTCTCTGCATGATTGTTTTAATTCATCCATGTTGGAGAGTTTTCTAACATACAAGCAAATGGCCTGTTCAAGGTCACATAATCAAAACCAATTCAGAGGTTGGCCTGTTAAGGAGTTTTGAATCGTTCTCCTGCAGCAGGACCAAACTGAGGTTGAGCTGATAGTCTTACACCGACGCCTGGACATTCTGCTTTGGGATTCAATCTTGGCTGAGGCTTGTACCTCTGACACCCAACCAGAGATAAACAAAAAAATAATGGATGGAAGAATAAATCACCTTCGTGAGTCACAATTTAACAAAAGGGTAAATTACTTCTTTTTGCATTGATGCAGACCAGTTTTGAAGAACTTTTTCTTTCAATACAATAAGTAATGATCTAAAAACTCTGTTTTGAACCTACAGAGCTCCTCTGTGTGACATCTGAATTAGTTTGATGACCTAAAGCAATGTCTCCGTGACACAAGTGGATGGTTTTTGCGACAGAAGCGGTGCCTCACTTGAGGGTCGCGTGGGTGAAGCAGCGGTTCAGGTCAGTGTCAACATATCTGCTGCACTGCTGCATGGCCCGAGGGTTGGACAGCACCATCAGCACTGACGCGGGCTCCCCGTCCTCCTTTCTTCTCTCCGCCTTCAGCATCTCTCGCACCAAGTACACTCCTGAGAGCTCGTTGCCATGCGTGCCGCCACAAACTGCGACACGGGACAACCTCGGCAAAAGCACCGGCTCATCTACCTGCATCTGACGGAGACAACCAGAGTTAGAATAAGAGCTCGAAGGGTGGCGCTTATGTTCTCATGTTTTATTCAGTGTGCATCGATGCGAAACAAACAAAAAAAAAAAGCAGCCAATGTGACACTGGGGTTGGACAATCAGTACAAGACAAAACAGAAATATAGATTTGTGAAATCTTACCTTGGTTCTCAGGGCTGATGTTAACTGTAAACGCAAAATGTCGCCTTCAAGCCAAAGTAAACAAAAGTCACCACTTTACTTCAGCTTAAAGTTGCTTTGAAAAACACAGACATGGCCGGAATAGTGGTAAACTCGATAGGTTATTGATGAAATGAGTGAAAAGGAATCATGCAGCTCATTTTTTTTTCCCCACCTCCCCCTCCTGTTACCTTTCTCTCCCTGTCATTTACCCACTCGTTCACCCTCTCCTGGACCTTTTATGTAGTTTCACTGACTCAGCATTCCCATCCCTCCCTCTCTACAAGGCTGCAGCCGCCCGTCATGGTCTCTCTCAGCCTCCCATCACACTGCACCGCTCTAGGGCAGGCAGGGTGTGTCCCCGACGGTGGAAACACAGAGCGTCCCTCTCTTCCTCTGGTCGCAAACAAATGAAGAGTTCAAGCCGAACCCCGAGGCCCCCGACCCCCTCAGCTCACCGTGTTCTCCGCACGCTCCGTGCATGGGATGGTAGGTTCCAGCGGGCTTTTCAGATAAACCTGCCAGCATGACACAGCAAGAGAACAGAGGCGCCTGTGATGTGTGGAGTGGGAGGAACAGCTCTTCTAGCTGAGAGCAAAGCGGGACAGGCCAACCGAGGATTTGCAGCGCCGGTGCACAACTATTGCTACTCCTGGTAAAGACGCAGAAAGTACCTGAAGATAAGTTTGGCTGAAAAACTCCAAAGAAGTTTCAGACAAAGTAAAAGTTGCAACAACTATTAGCACCAGAAGGGATGCAGGTAAATAAAAATCAACACGTTCAAACAGAGTAAAACAAATATAAATAGTTTTTGTTTAAACTTTTTAAAATGAAGGTGTAGGTGTCACGACCACTTTGCTTCAAAATGGGAAAGATGAGAGAACATGCATTTCTAAGGGTAAATGAGTCACTATCTTATAGACGGAGAACGTTTCTGTCTATAGATAGTTAGATAACAAATCTGGTGGAGGATCGGTTTATGTTGCCAGAGAGTAAAACCATATGGGTGGTGAAAACAAATCTCCAAAGCTTAGTGTTCAAGATCCAAAGCATAGAGCATCATCCCTTTTTCTGAAAATTTTCATTTCTTTTTTCCCCTCCTGTTCTTCCAGTGTATTTTAGAATGTATAATTTTTTTTTAAGTCTCCCTGATGTCTTGAAAAGTACCAAAAAATACATTATTACTGCAATTATCATTACTATCCCAGCATAAATCTATGGTAAAGCTACAACCAGCTTGTGTGTGATGTGGCTGAGTACAACTAAAAGGTGTGATATTCTGCTCAATTAGCGCAGATACCTACTTCATTCAACTATAAATATTGCCCATATTTCTTTGTAGCAAATATAAATTAAACATATAACAGTATTAACTGTAAATGCCAGTTAAATAAATTAGCAACAGTAATTGTTGAACCAGAGGTATTTGCACTCAAGGTCATTTTTAAAGGTCACATTTTTACAGGGATGGGAAAAATTGTAAAGATCAAGATGTGAATAAAAGGAAACTGATAACTACAGTAAAACTAAATAGGAACCCAAGATATTTACAGGAGTGTAGTTATATTAATATTCAAATATTTCACATTTAATGTATTCAGTTTATTGCATGTGCAGATGGTTTTCATGTGTTATACTATTTTAAGATAGAATTATTAATTTTATTTAAGACACAAACATGATATTTGTGTATACAAAGATCATGACTGAAATAATCCTATTAAAATTACATTCATTTAAACAAGTCCAAAAGTTCAACTTTTCACAATTATATTTTGTATTATTTTCTGTAATGCATTTCTAGAAATGCAGATGTACAAAAAGGATCATTAGAAATGTTTTTAGACTGCTGTGGAAAAGGTGGCAGGACGGATTAAAGGATTAAAAACTTAATTATTAAAAGAACTGAAATAAACGAGCAGGCAGAGAAAATATTTGACGTTGCAGTATTTATTACAGATTCTTTTTTTGTGTTAATACAAAATACTGAACAATGTCAAGTCTCTACTCAGTCAAGTACAGAATTCCCTTTTTTTCTGAAAAATGAAGACAGTCCTCCCACATTACAAGAACCCAACATTTGGAAAGAAAAAAACTACAATTGTCAATACTATAATGTGAATTTCTATACATTTATAAATTCATTGTTATTTGCCACCTCTTTGTGTCTGAACTCTTAATTTTTAAGTACACTTACAAATTTTGAAATTCACACGCACACACATACGCACACACACACCCACGAGGAAACATTTCAACTCATGTTTTTGGTGTTAAATTATACTTGCATATAAACTAACTCTCCGTCAGACATAAAGCAGGGTTGTGATGTTTACTTTTTCCTCAAATATTTGCTTTATAGTCATCGTTTGAGTCCCATACGTCGTCAACTAATTCTTCTTCTTTATTTCCAATTTATCTGAAAATAAATGTAATTTACTCATGAAAACAAATGTTGACGTGGCATCTTGCGCGAGTGAATGAGACTTATGTCATTTTCCAACATATTTTTACATGAAACACCAAATAAATGCAGGTATTTTTGTTCATTTAACTGCGACGACAAAGCAGATGAGAGCAGGTTGCTCTTTTTTAAGGCGATAAATGTTTAAACCTTGTAGCCGAGTTATTTATTTCTCAGTCATATCTTCCTTTAAATCTTGTTTTTAAAAAAAAATCTATCTATAAAATGTGACAGTGTTGATGGTCGATAAGTGTTCTAGATGATCGAGTCTTTTCTCGGACGCACTGTAATCCAGTCGCCATGTTTTTTTTCTTCATTAATGGAAGAGCAGATAAGCTGTCTTACCCACAAGCACACAAACAAGCAGACTTTCACTTCTTTACATTAAGACACTAAATCAGAGAAACAGAAACATTTTAAAGGCCACCAGTTGACATGTCAATGAAAGTGTAAGCATATTTTAATATAATTGTATATATTAGCCAGGTTTTACCCTCTTTTTTAGCGTTATTATCTGAGTAGATAGTCCTGCGGATCGTTTTATCACACAGCACACTGAAAGAAATCTTCTCTCCACCTGATTTGACTTGGGCACAGACTCGACAAATTTGGAAGCACTGCTTATTTCTTCAGACCGAGCCAACTCAGAAACCCCTCGACAATAATAACAATGAAAAAAAACCCAAACATTTTATCCCAATCCTCCTGGATACGCGACAGCGAGAGGAAAGAAGTAGTTTGATACTTGATTGGACACAGAAGACTAGATCCTTCAGTCTCTCTCGCATCTCTGAATCAGATAGTAGTGACCATCCGGGATGGGGAGGGGGATCTCTTAGAACAGAGAGCCGCTGGAGGGGAGCAGCCGTCCAATCAGGGGACAAACGGGGCTTCGTGAAGCTGTCCGTCCAGCTCTGATGTGTGTCAGTCTCTGCAGAGCGCTTCAGGGGTCAAAATATGTCCGGGCAACCCTCCCAGCTGCCGAGCTCCTTCATTTCCCAGTAGCCTCCCTTATAGATGTGAACTTGCTCACCTGTGATTTGGTCCTCACAGCTCTCGAACCAAAGCGCTTTGTAGGCGTCATGCGGAGCACCTGGAAGAGAGAGAACTCGTGAAAACATGCATGGAAAACTTTGTAGATGGCGATTTAAGAGTAAGGAACTGGGATGTTGGCAGATTAAATAGGGATACTTGCTTTTCATGGAGTGATCAACAAAAGAGTCCTCATCGACAGCTTTTAGAAGAGAAAAGGGCGGGATCACAGAGATTTGTTTTTACCTCATTAACTCCAGGATTTTCCCCAAGCAAGCCAAAGAGGAACACAAAACGAAGCGCGTTCACGGTCTCCTCTTACCTTCTTCCGACGGGCCGGAGGTGCGCTGGCTCGCCGCTTCCCGCTCCCTCTCGCGCCGGGCGCTGCGCTGCTTCTCCTCCAGGCGCTGCTTTTCGCCGTTGGCTTCGTCCCAGCGGCCGTCCTCCATCAGGCGCTGGTCGGGCCTGCGGCGGCTGTCGGTGGGCGCCACCCCGTCTTCGGGCTCATTCAGGGTCAGAGCCAGAGCGGTGAAGTAGTACATGGATTCGGCTCCGTCGCTGGAGAGAGAAGCAAACAGAAGGAGCAAAGTGAGTCGTACGTACATCTGCAAAAACTCACAAGCACAAAGACCTTCAGCTCATCCTGGCAAATTACACAAATGTGGGGATTTTCTAAAGTCCAATTTACTTTAAAGATGTTGTTTTGGAAAACATCTTAAAATTACAAATATTATGATAAAAAGATTTTTTTTAATTCTCAAAGTAAAAAACAAACTTTTACATTGTTTTTTTTAGACCAGTGCTTGAGTCACATCTTCTAAAATAATAAGAAACTTCCATATTTTTTATGCAGGATTATAAAGCAATTCTTCTTGGAGAAATCCTGGATTTCAAGGCAGAGAGAAGAAAACACAACACTGCTTATAATACAGACAATAGTTCAAGAAAAGTAAAAAAAGCCACGTAAGTTTTTAGAAATTTATATTTTCATCTGTTGGATAACCAAATATAAAATTATGTCTGGAAAGCCAAACTTTATCCTGTTCTCTGTCTTGTAGCCAAACTACTGTCATGTGGTTTGACGGGTTCAACGTGACACGTTGTTATGAGATGCTGGAGTTTGTCTCTGACAACATGACAGGTATGTTTTGAGTTTGTATTGCAGCCAAAAAAACCTAAGAACTCTCCTCACCCTTTCAGCAACCATTCTATGTGCAATTTGGGTGTGTGCGTGCTTCTTCACAACTGGAATTCCTGCTCCAGCAGTGGAAACACTGGTGTCAGGCAATTACCTGTGTATTGGGACCGTCCATGGATTGTATTTTACAGCTAAGTTATTACAACGAGTTACTTAAAAATAAGTTGTTACCCAAAGCAACGTCACTCTGTATGACATGATGAGGTTGCACATGAAATATCTCCATGTCTGTGACACCACAAATTTAGAACAAATTTCCAGAAAACTGCCAAAAAGCCAAAACAGAGTTTCTTTAAATCAAGGTTAAAACCCCACCTGTTTAGAGTTGCTTTTGATTAGTATTAACTGGAACATTGTTTAACATGTTTGACGTGTATTTGTTTGATTAGACAAAATGTAATGTCCATTCTTGTTTACTGCATTATGTTGTTATGGTGCAAAAGCCTCGCTGTTGAAATGTGCTGCACAATGAAATTTGTTTTAACTTGAGTGTTGATGAAAACTACTCACGTTTACGGGATGACTGCAGGGTTTGTCATTTGAGGGCTAAAGTGAGTGCTTGAACAGAAGGGTAGGTAAACAACAGCTAAACAAACTGAAATGACCTTAAATAGTTATGCATAGCCTCTGGCCTCTGCAACCAAAACCACTTACGGTAAAGGGTTTCTCTTCCACAACTCTCTGGCTTTCAGGGTTTGATATACGGTCTTCTGTTTGCCCTCGGTGCCATTCTCTCCTCCACGACTGCTCTGCATGACCCTGGAGAACTCCATCTTCTCGTCCCATGTGCCAGACAGCACATAGTGCGCCTTTCCATCCTTGTCCATCACCACTCCTGTCACCTACAAACAACCAGACACAGAAACACAACTCAAAACTGGAAGAACAGGAAAAAAAAAAAAAGAAAGAAATATGTCAAGCCGTTTCCGGTTCTTTCTGACCTTTCTGGCTACGTCTCGTGAGAAGTAGCTGTAAGGAGCAAACTTCAGGTGGCAACGATCCCCTGTGGTGTGGTTTACTATGTCAATTTCTCCAGACTGAGAGGAAACAGGAAGAGTTTGAGGAGTTAAAATCGTCAGCATTAAAAAGATAGCTGTCTGCATCATATCATGAAGAGCTAAAAATCGACTGTTAATATGCATTAACGTAACACTTGTTTAGCTGCAAATGTATAAAAAGTCAGTTAAATGTATTGGCATCCCTAGTAAAGATGAGTGAAAATTTGTAAAATAAATGTATCTTTTAAAGGAGAAGCATAATTGCCCTATCTTAAGGGTACAATTTGTTAAAATAGTGTTTTTATGAATCATTAACTCCAGTTGTAAAAGAAGCCCTTCTGGAAGCACTGAACATAAATGGCGTTGAAACTCGATTGCGAGTTCATCAGGAAATCTACAAAGAAAAACTACATCGCTGTCAATCAACACTTAAAAAATTACAGGGAAAAATTAACAAAAGCATTGACAATGCATGTCGATTGTTGCAGGGCCTGCAATGGATTTGTCAACTTCTTGATAGAGAAAATTGAAAAAATTCAGAGGGTCAGTCTGCATATCAACACCAAATCCAGCACCGATGCGATGCACAAACATAACAAATGTAGAGGAAATGGCTAAATTTCACCAACTCGACCATGAAAACTTAGAAGAAGATAAAAAGCAACGAAGATCCTCCTCTCGCTAGCTTGACATCATACCTGTAACTTTCCTTAAGAAGATTCTGGCTGTGATCGCATCTGATCTGATTCAAATGTGAAACTCATTCCTCTAATGACGTCCTTCCCTGCAGGCTTTATCAACAACAGTTGTCAAACCACTAACAACAAAACAATCTTCAAAAGTCGCTAGTGCAAAAAAGTTTCTTGAAATCCAGGCTGAAACCCCACCTGCTTAGAGCTGCCTTTGATTAATAACTGGAATACTGCTCAATATATTTGATGATTGTGCTTCATAATAGTGTTTATAGTCTTATAAATGGTTACTGTATTGTATTTTTAATGTTTCTATAACTTCTCTGTAGTTGAAAGGTGCTATACAAATAAACCTGGCTTAATCATCCCAGGCTTCCTGTTTCACCTGGGTGTGAATATGACATACCAAATAGATCCAATTCTCTTACTCACTCCGACATGGGAAACAAGTCAGATGCCATTTAAATCAGGGACTCTGTAATGATTATTATTATTATTGGTCATGAAATGGCTTACTTAAGTTATTTACCAACATTTGAGAGCAATTTCTGAAGTGTTAAACTACTGAAAGTGTAATAAGCAAGTCTGGATGAGGACTCCATTTTTCATGCCACCAACTCGATAAGCAAGATAGTCAGGGAATCCAACATTCAAACATGTCATAGGCTTACCATTTGAGAACTACTACAAAGAGCGACATCTAATGGTTAGAAGTCTGAACAGCAGCCATTAGATGCGATCTACTTGTCTAGTTTGAGAGTGATGAAATAAAGATTTCTCAGTAACAACCATGTGGTTTCTTAAACGTTGTATTTTAATCATATGAGACCAACACCTCCATCACACCATCAGGCTTTAGTTTCAATGAAGTAACAAGACATGATGCCAAAAAATAAAGGTTTAAAAGTAATATTATGCTGCAGTGTCTGTAATCTGATCACTGATTTGGCTTTTTGGGCCATGTGAAAAATTTCCACCGCAGCTCAACGTTTCGCTATGTCACTGATTAAGTGGATCTGAATTAAGAGAATTGCTCGTTACCCCAAAACCCTGAGGAGGTAATTCAGCCATTTGCCTCGGGTCTGCTGGAGCTGCAAGGCATCATGGTTTTGTTTATCGTCTGATTAAACAGGCAAATAATTATCACTTGGGAACACTCCAGACAATTCTTGATGTCAAGGTGACCCATTAATATGAAAAAGAAAGACAAAAATTTATGACGCACCAAACCTTGGATACCACATTGATCCTCTCACAATCTAAGCCTCCTGAGAACAATAGCTCATCTGCACATAAATCAAAGCAATGACAGAACTTGATGTTCCAGAAATTTCTTTTCATCGACTCAGGTTCAGTAACACGTTTTAGTTTTGTTTTTGAAATTTCCCATGGCAATAATAGAAACAGTGAGCGAGCAGTTTGGAGAAAAGAAAAGAAGAGCACTTCACAATGAGTTTGGCGTTAAAGGATGAATACAGAAAAGCACCTCATGGCCACTGCTAAGTGGAGTGAAATATCTGTCATGCTGTGGGCCTGTTTGTCTGCTAAAGGCCTTGGGAACCTTGTGAAACAGCACCGCATGTTAAAATCCCCGAAATACCAAAATGATAAAAGTCACGAGATGTGAAGAGTAATGATCACAATGAGGGACAATTCTCTCTTAAACAAATACAGATTTTACGGACTACAAGTTTCACCGGACTATCGATCAAAATATGCACCAAGAAGAGTAGAAAAACACATACGAGTTGCACTGGAGTACAAGTCGCATTTACTTAGAAATTGTCAAATGTTAGGCGGATCTTTTTTACATTAATGATTTGATCTGATGGCATGCTGTGATCATTTACCTACTTTTTAACAAACTCACAGAAAAGGTCGACTCACTAAAGCTAGATAGTCAGAAACGGCTGTTTTGCTGGTGAAGAGCACAGTGAAGAGGAGACGCAAGTCAAGGGATGACAGCTGGGCAGTTGCGTGGCATGAAGCGACAAACACCAAGAAGATCCGCCAGCAAATGTCATTTATATTAATTTCCCTGGCAACCACCTGGGACAATGCTCCAGGTCCCATAAGTAGACTCATTCAGCCCACAATTAACTTTCCTTGCAATTGCAGATATAATCTTTCATTCTTGGCACATGTCTGTCAGTATGAATTCAAATTTAACCCTACAGACAATAAATGTGTAATGAAAAGAAAAAAAAAACATATGAGTCACACCTGATTAAAAGTCACAGGACGAGCCAAATAAAAAAAATTAAAGTATGATTTATATTGCAAAAAATAACACAACTTTCCATACTTTTCTTCTTTTGAAAGAAAAATGGACAGTAATAAGATATAATGTTCGGTAAAGGTTCTTCAGCCCCATCTTGATCAACTTCATACTAGAAATGTTTCCTGATGACTAATCAAAAACTGGTCCTGCAATAATGTGGCAATGATTCAACTTATCAGGTCAATGGGTACAAGTTGGACTAATAAGATATTCAATATCTTATTTAATATCCAGGTTTTCTTTGTTTTATTTGCACTGGCACCAATCACTCTCACCTGATCAATCCACAGCTTTCCAACAATGATGTTGTGCACTGTGGTGGTAACCTTCTTCCATGTGTAGTGGTTGTTGCTCTTCTCAAAGATGGCATGTATAGTGCCTGTGAGATAAAACAAAACAAAAAACTGAGTGTGCTAAAAGATAAGATAGATAGATAGATACCTTGAAAATAAAAAAAAACAAAAAACAGGCGTGTCAGAAACATTTTTCTATCTATTATAAGCCTGCATAAAAAACAACTTGTACATTTGTTTGTATAAGCCGCTTTATTAATGCTGCAAAAATGCAGTAGCTGAAACACACCCTGTACTCTACGCCACAAAAACTTCAGACACGTGTTTGACTCACATATTGTCTCTCACCTAAAGGCATGATTGACAAGTATTTCCCTCTGAACTTGCTTGCAACAGTGATCTCCTGCCTCAGAGTCCAGCCTCGATCAGAGATTGCATGGTGTGCCGCTGCAGGAGGGTGGTGACTCACCTGTGAAAAGAAAAAAAAAAATGAATAAATAAATTCAACAAAAGAAATTGGCTGTGGGGAAACTGGCAGTGTCTCTTGCCTGGCCCTGCTGGGCTAAATGTACATCCAGTTCTTAGAAGAAATTCCTTTCAGGAAGATAATCACAACCACACAACTGCGGTGCGCTAAAGAAACTCCCATGTGTACAAGTAAATATAAATTACATTCATCTTCAATAAGATTAAAGAATTTGAACCTCCACTATTCTATTGCCTAAATGCAGATACACAAGCTTTAACCCTTGATTCTGTCCTAATCTAAAGAACATTTATTTACCATTCACGATGTAAAGTTTCAGTTACTGGACTATTTCATCTCCTCTCTCTTCCTTCTGTTATTATTTTCCTATTACTTTTTGAATCAAATCCCTCATTTCCTTTTGTGTTGTTCTTAAGTACCTGCTCACAGAGGGAACGGTAGCCGCTCTCTCTCCGGCGGTCCAGCTCGTACGTTTCCCCCAGTAGCGGGTTGAAGGGCTTCCCCGTGCGGTACACCGTCGTGGAGTAGGCGGATACGCAGAAGGCCGCAACGTAGCACATCTGCTCCAGGGAGCTGTGGCACTTTGCTGCCTTGTCCAGCAGCTCGTGGTACTCGAGGTCCTCCGACAGCCGCTGCAGCATGGAGATCGGCTCGTTGAAGTTCACCTAGAAAGGAGGAATTATTGCGTTATTTTGGGTGAAAAAACAGAAAATTTGATGCAATTAAAATGTTTGTTCCTTTAATTAATTCAATTTTCAAAAAATTAAACCTCCGACTTTATCTAGATGTGATGAACAGAATGACATACTTCAAGTACAATAATGTCTATGACACAAAAAAAAAATACATAAAAAAGAATTTTAAATCGAGAAACGTTACATGATGAGCTACAAAATTAAGGGGTAGAGTGCTGATTTTAAAGTACTCCAAGAGATAAGGACGTCAAACCACAAATAATCATCACAAAAGAGTCTCTCCTATATTAGTTAAAGTTTAGTGGATGAAAAAAGTGTGGTGGACAAAAAAGCAGTAGCAACAGGGAGGATTGTAAAGCTAAGCTGATTTGACAAACTGAGGAAGATTCTTGACGCTAAATCAAAGAGTTTCACATTTTGAACTGAATCACTGGTTGAAATTGATCATTTTCTTATGTGTAGTTTAGACACATTATGAACATCGATCTCAATTCAGTGACGAGGCTCCAGTTGTACAAACTGTATTTAATGCTCCTCAGTACAACTGCTGCAACTTCAAACCTTTAACCTCTTTTTAAGAATATTAAAGTCCAGACTTGTGTTTAATCCATTTCATGTTGTGTCTTTTCACTGATTCACCACAAAAGGGTGAATCAGTGAAAATAAAGTTATATGTCACACCGTCACATGTAAATGTTGTTACTCATTGTGGAGTCAACAGGAAATAAAGAGACATGTCACCTGTATAAACCCAGAACAATATAGCGTAAACATGTCCGGCGTTTCGGCCATGTTTAAGCAGTGACTGGGAAAAAGCTTTGCGTGCGAGTCGGGCCTAGCACAGACGCAGTGGGCAGGTTGACTTCCTCTGAATAAACGTAGCTTAATAACCTATTCTGCAACAGATCAGTCAGCGGAACGTTGCTGCACCAGTTTGGCAGAAATAGGGAGGATCTGTAGACGAAGATCAACTGGAATTTGATAAGTCAGTCGTTGACAAGACATGCAAGAGGCGGTGGCGACTTTTGATCTGATTGGTTGAAATGTATTATTATGTTAATTATACAAGAGAAAGAACTAAAAGGTCACATTGCTGATGGAATAATGCTTCAAGGTATTCTGTTTATGCCGACAGAAAACTTTTTTATAACTCTAGTTTGCGCTCATGTATTAAATGATTAAATGAATATATATTAGGTGCATTCAATTGGTGTTTAGTCTTTTTTAAACTGTTGATCATTTCTTTCTCCTAAGAACAAAAACAACTTAACATTCAAGAAATTACAAAATTTAAGTAAACAAAGTTTAAGTATAAAAAACAAAATTATAGATTTTTGTGACAGCTTAGTTGTTTAAAAAATAACTGCTGAAAATAACAGCAATTTAGATTATTACACTCCAAAATAGGTACTTCCACACAGTGCATATTAAAAGTATAAATTATAACAGCCTTTGCTCTTCTTCTTAATGTCCTACACCTATTCTATCCCTTCAGGTCTGGTCATGGCGATTGATTAATTTTATCAAATTTCATTAACTACCCTCCTTATAGAAACAATACTTCAGTATGATGTTAACCCGCTCAAGAACCGCCGTCTTATTTGACATGCATGTTTTAAAGCTCCTATTTATTTCAACTTTGAATTTACGTAAACTCACAGAAGGACAAACTGAAACATAAGCTAGTTTAAGATATTTTCTGTCGCTTGTTCCCCCCAAGGAAAAACATGAGGTAAAAATACATGTTTAAAATTGGAAATTAAATCTGTTATAAAACAATTGGAGATTTTATTTTGAGGACATTTTTCCCAGCTCAACTTTAGGTTAATACTCAATAGCTAGGTTATACTTCTTCACTTTTTTATTTTTGTTAAATGAGGCTTAATGATTTCAGAAAGTCAGATTTAAATGATAAAGTGCAGATTTTGCAAAATATATGAACATCTTTTGAAAGCAGTGGCTCCAAATGCTTGATGTGGGTATTAATTTATGATGGCAACAATGAAACAAAACCAACTTCCTCCTCTCTATTTATACAACAACCAACAGCACTACCATGTGGTTTCCCTCTCTGCATTTCACAAGAAAAATGTTGCAACTGAGTGTCACCTTTGTGGTTTTTCCTTTTAACTCTTGACAGCTCATTCACCCGGTTCAAGCGGTGCCAGAAGAAGAAGTTCAGCTCTGACAGTTGCCGTTGTTACTCACAGGCATGGGGATCTTGGACAGATCTTTGCCGATGCAGTTCTTCATGATGCTCCAGAGGTTCAGAGAGTAGTTGGGCTTGTCGGGGATGCGCGTTCGCCTCTTTTTCAGCGGCACCAGCTCCTGAGAGGGCGAGTCCTGGTACATTGTGAGAGGCTCCTCGTTGAGCTGAAATATATCAAATTAAAAAGTTACGAATATCTGTGTTGATGTCTCTGATGCATTTGGATCTTACATGGTGGTACAACAATACTAATCCAGGTGCATCAAGGAGCTGAAGAAGGACCTACCGACTGATCGTCTGCACACATATCGGTGTTCAACCCGCTCGCGTTACTGCTCGAACGTCTGAAATGAAAGCGATACTCTGTCAGCACAGTTTCTGACTACTTTACCACATTAAGCTGTAAGGAAGACCACAATTAGTTGAATAGATTCTAAACATAAACATTTTTCCTTTAATGCCAAATTTTAAATCCACAACACCTTTCCTTGAGGTTTAACATTATTTTAATTGATGTCAGAAAAAACGTTTTTCCAGATTTTATGCAAAATAAAATCTGGAAAATCTTTCGCTTTTTACTGGAGACAGAGGTGAAACACTAATGCTCCATCCCAACATGTTGCTAAGTGAAAGAAGGCTTGTGAACTTTTTTTCTACGAATAAGATAAACACAGTCACTAAGTTTTTTATCATCAGTTTACAATTGTTAATGTGCCCTTATATTTTAGCCAAAGAAAGAAACTTTTGCTTTTCTCATTTAAATACTGTCAGCCATTTTTTCATAAACATTTGTACAAATGCAGCATTGCTGTATTTTTTGCGTAAAGTCTGTCATAGTTTGAAATGTCATTTTCCCTGTCGTACAAGTTACAATAACAAGCAGGAGAAACACAAAGAAACCATTTTGCAAATGAGTAAATATGTTAAATGAATATGTAAGCTCTTAAAGAGACAGTGATACTGACTTGTGAAACTGTGGGTCTGCAGGTACAGTTATAAACTCGGGGGCGTCTTCCATGGCATCAAAAAACTCGTTATCATCATCCTCGTCGCTCGCTTCACCTTTTCCAGACCCGACAGCACCTAGAAAGCAAAAACAGATTCATTTCTGCTTTCGCTTTTCACTGGAGACAGAGGTGAATCTTGAAACTTTGAATGAACGACGTGCCAACATCTGTTATTAAGAGAACTTTACACATCAATCAGATTATTGTGGCTTTAAATTCTTGGAGCGTAGTTTTGAATTCACACCGAGGTGAATTTAAAAAGCTGATGTCAAATCTGATAGGCGTTAATAGCAGTGACTTTTTAAAGTAGTAAAAAGCTTAACTATCATGAAATCTCTGCAGGGTTTCCCCCAGAAAACTTGCTAAGCCCGGTGCGCTCGGGCAGTTATCCAGCCGGCCGCCATGTTTTTGAGTTAAAAAATGTTTAAAGTTGACAGGAAATTTTTAAATATCACCTAATAGTTATGCATTATTGGAAGACTGGAAGATCAATACCTAAATACTACCCATAGCTATAAAAAAGGCAATAATTTAAAAAAAGAATAAAATAAATAAACAATTCTAAGCCTGGTGGGGACACAAGTAAAGCCTGGTGGCCCGCCAGGCTTATAATACACTGAGGTTTAAAAAAAAAAAGTTAAAGAAGCTACGAGATGATTAGCAAGTTAGAGAAAGAGCATCAGCTTTACCTTTATTGTCCACGATAGCGTGAGCCTGCGCGGCCCCTCTGAACGCTCGCTCCAGGTGGTTGTGCTGTTTGGCCAGTTGCTCTAAGGCCTCCTCCAGCCGCACTCGCTGCTCTCGCTCAACTTGCAAGGCTTTCTGCCACCGCTTGCTGTGACTCTGCGCCAGGGCCAGGAAGTCCCTGCAGGCCTGCAGCCGCCAAGAACATGGACACACCAGGAGGATTTTAATGTATAAAAAAAAAAAAGCAGAGATGAGAAGTTCTGCCATAAGTAGCATCACTTTTCATCAAAACTAGGGCTGCAACTAACAACAATTCTATTGATTATTCTGATGATTAATCAGAGAAAACTGTGCATATGGTTCAATAAACTACTTCAGCCTTTTTAATACAATATTGGAAATGCATTAAAAGAAGCAAATAAAAAATAATTTCTTTTTAAAGAGAAAAATAAAAAATGTACTGCAACAACATAGCATGCCTTTGGTACGTGTGGTTATTTGTAGCAAAGGATGCATCTGCAGCTAGAACAACTTCTAACAACATGTGAAGAGCTCAGTCCTTTCTGGCTGACTTAACAACGCAGTTAAGTCAGTTTCTAATCTGTTGACTATTTTTTAATTAACTGATTAATAATTGGATAGCAAAGCATTCTTTGTTTTCTTACGTAATTTGAAAAAAGTGAAAATGAAACTGTCACTTGAGGACTTCGGAATAGAACACATTTAAACGACAAAGTTCTATTTCTTTAATCTTAAATGCAAAATGTATATGTTTTTGAACAGTTTTGGTTTTATTACTTCTCTTATTATGATGTTCTTTCATCAAATATTGTTATTTCTAAGTCTGTATACCCCAGGTAACGATTTAATGTTTGCTAAATTAGTTGACGATTATTACAAAAATCAATTCATCCCAATTAATTGGATTGAACATTTCAGTCTTTGTGAAACCCAAAGCAATTGTAAGAAAAAACAGAATTGTACATTAAATGCAGTTAGAATGTTTGTTGTGCAACTCAAAGATGGACACCGTCATTCATGCTAGGCTATAAAACTCTGCTGTCAGGTATTTGTTATTACAATGACTCACTTTCACTGCCAGTTTCTATTTACGGAAGATACAAAGGCAGAGGAGGTGACGCTTACATTAATCATAGCATTAGAGGTTATCCGGAACAGTGTGGCTCTTTCCGTCACCTGACGAATCTTATCCCCGGCCTCTCCGGTCAGCCGTAAACTGTCCAGCTCAGATAAAGACCTGAAATATGATGACGTCAAGAAAGATTTACAAAATCCTGTTTTTTATTTGACATTTAAGGCGGTGGAATGCTGCTCAGTTAGAGGTAGAACTGGACAAACAAGCCAGACAGTCTGTGAGAGAGAGTTTCCTTCAATGCGATGAGCTGTGTTAGACTGACCTCTGCAGGGCAGAGCCGTGCTTGGAGATCAGATCGTTGCAGGTGCTGAGATCCTCCACCTTGCTGCCCAGCGTTCTGAGAGTAGACTGGACCTCCGAGTTTTGAGAGCCCCCACCCTGACCTCCGCCCACTGGCAGGGACGATGAGAAGTCGTCACCGGAGTCATCTGTTCACAATTAGAGCAAGAAGAACAAATACAAGATGAAAATGTGTTCAGACTTATAAGAATGTAGATATATAGGGATAGCTTTAAAGGGAAAGAAACTGCATATTTATACTTGAGTGAAGTTCAATGGTTGTACAATGATTGTTATAAAGAAAAAGTTTGAGAATTTAAAAGAAAAAGGTTTTTGTTTGTAACCACCAGGGGGAGCTGTAACCCCTGAAAGATATTTATTAAAGGGTAAAGTCTGTCTCAGATCACAGCCCCAGCAGTTTTAAAGTTATTTTAATAACTAGCACAAACAAACACACTTTTTGTTTGATTTGGAGGGACCTGGTCGATCTTTTGTGACCTACTCTTAAACTGATATTTATATCTTTAAAGTGATGAGGTACAGATTTTCGGTTTGACATTATTTCTAGAATGTAAAGGGGGAATCTTTACTACAGTTATTATTGTTATCATATGTCTTTTTAGCAATAAAAGCATTAATAACACTTTGATATTTTTCTCATGTTAAGCCACAAACATCAAAATATTTTACAGTAATTTTACATGAAAGCCACATATAGTAGTGGATAATTGTAAACTGCAGGGAAATTGATTCTTTAACATTTATCACATTAAAAAATCTAATATGTTGTGTATTCAGTCCACTTTGCTGATGCTCCTAAACAGTAAAATGAAAACCGAAGTAATTTATCATTTCTTTACAAGTGTTTTTTTTTCTGTCAAAGAGCTGAACTCTCTGACATAGAAACAAAAATTGACAAGATGTACGCATGAAGTTAACTATGTGCACTTAAAAAAGGGCAGCTATGTGTGTAAATGCAGCATCTGATGCACATAAAGTTCGATTTGTCTTTAATTGTGCAGTTATTTGTTTTAATGTTGCCATTAAAGCCAACGTAGGACCACGTTTTGAAACGTGGTCCTACGTTGGCTTTAATGGCAAAAGTTTGGATCAAAATATACATTTGGCCCAAACGTTCAAATTCATCAGACCATCCCATATTCTCTCACCAGGCCAGGATGCTTCGTTTTCTGTCTCACAACACAAGACGTTGAGAAGTGCTGATGTGAGCCTCAGTTAAACGCTGCAGGACCTGTATCACTTCAAAGATTAATTGAAAGACTGAAATAGTTTGTTGTGTCGAATGCGTTTGCTGTTGAGAGCCACTATTAACATGGTAAGATTAGGAGGATTCACCAGATTAAGAGTTTAAAATCGGCTGGATTTCCAAAGCCGTCTATCCCTCGCACTACATACACATGATCTAATCTGGAAACACAGAGAGGGGCCGATGTAAACTGTTAAACTAACAGTTTACCATATTTACGAGGTAAAAGTCGCCCTCATATCATGAGGCAAACTGATGAGGGCCTGATATGATTTTCACCACATAAAATATTTTTTTCTGGCCTCAGTAAAAATGCATTTTTAATGTACCTGACTCAGCTTGCAAGCGGGCTGCCTTGGCTTTGGCCAGCTCCAGCGCAGTGATCCACCGCTGACGTTCCACCTCAGAGCTGGCCTTCAGGTGATACGTCTGAGCCCCGCCGTTAGAGATGACAAAGTTACAGGCGTCATCTACAGAGATGACTGCTGTGGCTAGGTTGATTGTTCCCCGACACGTGTGACCCATCTCAGCCTGGGTCCTAAAGATAAACAAAAAACAAAAAAACATACATCATAATTTGGCTTTTTGACAAAAATACAACTATCACTTCAAAATCCAAGTCTGATATGATCAGACCTCAATTCAGATGAGACGTTAAATCAAAACCGTAAATATGACCGTGAAGATGAATGGATGTAATAAATAAAAAATTAGGCTATGTTGACACAGCAGGTCTTGATGTTCAACTCCGATTTTTGCTGAAATCTGATTTTCTTTTTCTATGCGGATGTTCTGAATGATTTAACCGCAATCAGACTTGTGTTAACAAACAAACCACACAGCGCATGCACAGAAGAACATAGATATTACTCAGCGGTGCCGTTTGCAGAAAACATAAAGGATGTTGCCATCTATGGATTGATTAAGGTTATGCAGCAACCGACAGTATTGTCACAAGATCATAAATCATGAAGGAAGCTCTAAAACAGGAAGCACAACTAATAACAACGACCTTTTGAAGAGTATTCACTGCAACTGTTTGAATGCATAGCTGGGCCAAAAGTGGTGGGATTGTTAAGTGAGGACTTCTTTCACAATTTCATCATTTTGATTTTCAGCTTTACCGCATCTGGCTTCTTCTGCTGCAGAATTATGACCGCATACCACATATGGACGTGGCCCACATTGAACTCTTTGGAAGATGAAAAAGTCAGATACAGGTTTCATTTGCCTGCTGTGTGAACACTGGTGTTTTCCTGACACCGCCATGCTTTCTGCAAGGAAGCCTTACCTGTAGTACGATAGCAGGCCATTGCTCAGAACAAACCACCTTCGCTGATAACCCTTGATGTAGTTTGTCCACTTGAAGACCCATCCTTTGTACGTGTCGCCGGCCGGGGTGGGAGTAGGGCTCTTCGGTTCTGACATCACACACCCCCGAAATCAGGTTTCAGATTTAAAATAAACCTTGAAAAGAGAGATGTCCAAAAAGTAAAAAAATAAAATAAAATTACCATCCTAAGATTCAAAATTTTCAACAGCAGTAACAGCAGGTAAGAAGAGCGATTTGCCCTTAAAGAACATTTTCTTTCTCTGGAAGATTAACATGGTTTAACAGCCATATTTGTTTCTAAGGGAGAAAGTTATGTGCTGACAGGGACTTTTTTTTTTTCTTCTTAGTAGTAGTCACATTTTTGTCATCAATATAAATGGGATTAGTGCGGATGTGTGCATGTTTCACTTCTCTGTTTTTGGGATCATGACAGACAGGTCAACAACCTCCCCATCCGAGCAAAATGAAAGTAACATTTTTGAAATCTACTTTTCAAAACGTTGGTACAGCTCAATTCATCTCCAAGCCATTGTGCTTGTGTCACACCTCCGTATAGACGTTTCTGATCAGATATGTACCTTCTTTGACAGGTGATGATTTAAAGGACATAAAAATATCTATGTACATGATGTCTCTCAACAGTCGATCAAATGTCATAACTTCTCATATTTCATAGGGGTTGGCTGGTCTAAACAACTACTAGGGCCAAAATAAATGTAAAAATATGTTACCATAAACACAAATATGTGAAGCACATTACATTATCCAATTGCCAAAAAAGACAATTTGTCTTGTACAGGGAGCATGCTGAAATTGTTTTTAGGTGGGTTTCATTCTCAACACACTGCAACAGTAAATATTTGAAAGCGGTTAGTGATTGAAATGAAAAAAAGCTTTAATTCACTAGAAATATTTTGTAGTTTATTCAGACAGCAGAAAAGACTTATTTTGCCATCAAAGAAAATGACTGTTGTAAATTGGCCACAAAATATCTTATCCGTGCATTTCTGAATATGCTCCTCAATAATAAATTAAACACGAGAAAACAGCATTTAATTATCATTTAAATGCATAAATAACAAAAACACTTAACCAGAACAAGAAACGTGCATGCAAAATTGAAGTGCTTGAGTATAGTCAGTTTGTTTAAGAGTGACAAACTGAAACACGGTTTTGTTTTATGGTAATAAATAATTTTAGCTTATATTCCAGTCTTGTTTACAAACTAAAATATCTTAAAAGTTATTTTTATTTTCAGTTCCTGGTTGCTTTGGTTGATCTTTGAATGTAGTATCACAGGTCAAAGGTTAACTAATCAATCAATACACGTTCACATTTGACAGTTCTTGCTGAAAAAATGTAAAACTGAATTCAAGAGCACTTACTAATTAGCAAAAGAATCTAGCTTATAAATTCAATTAAGCCTGCCATTGACTTGTTTTAAATTATATAAATGATCTACGGCTCATTGTGCGATTTTAAAACTGAATATTGCTAATTCATAAGTCAAAATATGACAAATGCTAAGCTGGTGAATGTCCACTGCCAACAAAAAGAAGTGAATCAACAGTGACACCACACTTTCGATGAAGTTGTTCAAGCAGAAACGAGCCTGACCAGCAGGAGCTAGCCTGTCCTGACAGCAGATAAAAACTTTAAAATCTGCGCCGATATACATCCGCTCACAGCTAACAAGGAGCTAAAGTCGGGAAACAACCTGACATCTTTGATCATGGTTCACCTGCTGACACTGAAACAACGCAGGCGAAACACAACGCTGACTATTAATTTGCTCAAATGTAGCTAGCTCTGAAATTCGCTTGTTTACCTTGACGTGTCCAAAATGCCAGATGAGGAAACCAGACAGGCAGTGAAGTCACTGCTAGCTCTGACGCCCCATAGGCTGCCAGGCTAGTCGAGCTAACTCAGGCTAATGCGACTCGGCTAAAGCTGGAAATAATTCAGAGGACGTTGACGACAACGGTGTCACGTTCAGTAAATGGGGCTACGAAATGCTATCGCTGTCCTTCAGCAGTAATGTTTGTAATGTTCACCGTACTGCTGCGTACGATGATAATTATCTAAAGCTAGCTGGCTACATCTAACTAGCCTAACATTAGCTTGTAGCAGACATGCGGTGCAACTTTATTGAAGCCCGTGTGGAAACGCTGCTACTTTCCCTCAATTATCTCAATTGAACAAGTTAATTTATGTACCTAACTGATGTTTTTATGATGCATTATGATAATACATGTTACATTAAGCCACATATATGCGGCCCCGTTAAAGTTTGAGTTTCTTTTCGGATTCTGTCGCGATTACAATTTCATCTTATTTCAAATTTTATTTCACATAATTCTCCAGCTGCTGAGACGCAGCACTGATTCAATCATTTCTCACGCAGTGCCAAACAAAGTAACTCTAGTGACAAAAACATTGGTCATCACGAATAGTCCTGGCGCAAACGACGTTTTCGTAAATTAGGAAGAAAATATTAATTAATATCAATATTCATTAATATTCACCTGTAAGACGAGTTTTTATTTGTGAACAACTTGTATAACACTTATTTTATATACATTTTGCATATAAATCCTAATTTGAGTGATAAAACCATATTACTTTGTGACAGATCAACCGCAGTGGCAACAAGAACAGCAAAGGAACGAACAGACGCATAATCGGTACGACCATTTAATTTCGTACTCGTAGATCTCTTATCAAAGTAAAGAACATGTGTTTAAACAACTTTAAAAGTAGTTGATGCTGTTGTCTCGCCAAAAAGCGACTCCGGTGGGACTCGAACCCACAACCTTTGAATCACTTCGCTTTTTGCCTAGAAGTCCAATGCGCTATCCATTGCGCCACGGAGCCACCTGTTGATACAGGCGAGCACTGCTGAATTTGAACAAAGTACAATAATTTCTCAGAAATAGTGTGTAGTTTTACAGAAAGAGAAGCTCCTGTTGTGTGTCGCCTCAAAAAGGATGTCCGTGAGGACATCGCCTTCTGAATTATAGCTCAACATGGTGGTAAAGCAATCCCACTTGTATTGCCAAAATAATACACTGGGTGGCGCTAAAGACACAAGTCATCATGATCCACTGTGGTAAAATAAGGTGTCACTTTACAGTTCTTTTTTTCTAATTGACAACTGTCTTTTTGCTTTCATTCACACGTGTGACAGCAAAGCCTTTTCGATTTTCATCAATATTTCTTTCAACATTTGTGCGTCTAATGAGCGTTTACGGCCGCGTTTTACCTCCGTGATGCATTCAAGTAACTGTCTATCAAAATTGACGGAAGAAAGTAATAAAGTGTCATCAACATTTATATTTCAGCCCTCCTTTATATATATATATATAGAGAGAGAGAGAGAGAGAGAGAGAGAGAGAGAGAGAGAGAGAGAGAGAGAGAGAGAGAGAGAGAGAGAGAGAGAGAGAGAGAGAGAGAGAGAGAGAGAGAGAGAGAGAGAGAGAGTTAACAAGCTAACTCGACTTCATTGTGAAGTCACAGCGCGGCCGTATTTCCCAGTGTAGACGCGCGGCCTGGGGGGGGAAGGGGTGCGGGTACACATCCCAGCACACAGGAAAGCCAATGGGAGATGACTATCTTGTCCTCCCACCGTATCTTTGCTGTGTCCTCCCAGGAGCGGAAGTGTCTGGGATTCCGCTCAATCCATCGCTCCAAAGCCAGGCGTCTGCACAGGGAGGACGGATCGTTTGCATCTCTTCCCAACAGAGGAGGGAGGTCTTTCGCCGTCGCTGTGCACTATATATTAGACTTTACCAGCGCGGGACATGGTCTTTGAGGTTAGAATGTTTTCTTTCCTGCTGCAGACTTTCAATAAAACCAAGCGGAGTGGCTCGGAATGCTTGAAATTGACCAAAGAGGCATGTCCGCTCTTCTTCTTCTTCTTCTTCTTCTTCTTCTTCTTCTTCTTCTTCTTC